TTCTCTACTCTAATTAAAAGAAAATAATAATAATATTAGATATGAAGTGATTGAAATATACAGACAAACAGATAGAAAGATAAATAGATAGATAGATATGATGCGACAGAGGCATATATATATGTTGTGTATATGTAGGCAGCATCTTTTCATTCATACACGTTTCATTAAATAATATAGACAAGTGTTGTCTATTTATTTTATGTAAATTCTTTTCATAACATCTGATAAGTTTAATAACATTATCATTGAACGAAGAAAGAAATTCAATATATTTTCTGCATTTCAAAAATAATTTAACGCGAGAGTGAATTGGAGAAGTATGAAGTATGGGAAGCCGTTGGTATATATTATTTGCCCCCACACAAATGCCATAGCTAAGGTTAACATGAATATTTAGAATTAAAAATCATTCTTGAAGCTTTGATTTTAGTTTTAATTTCAAGCTAATATAGGGTGCTCCACAAAAAAACAAAAAAAAAACATAGGAAATGGTAGATTTACAATATAATGGAAAAATATCACTGACATAAAAAAAAAATAACTATATATTTTACTAGATGAATAAACTAAAAAATGTTAACATAAAAGTTTTTTTTTTTAATATTTGTTGCTTCAAGATGCCGCAGTTTTCAAATTTTCAACGTGAGTTGATTGTTCTCTTTAAAAAAGAACATCCAACTTGGGGACTGAAAAATGCCAAGAAATTTTGCCAGACTTCTTCAGTTCGAACACCAATGTATCAAATTTCTTAGTTTTTGTGGAGCACCCTGTAGATTATTCCAAATAATCAGAATATATTTTCTGCATTTCAAAAATAATTCAAATTGTGAAGAAGGAGAATTCGTTTTGAAATTACTCATATAGCTAATTTTTGTGCCATATTTTTAGCCATCTCTCATCGCAATATAATTCTCTTTATTAAAAATATTTCAAAATAAAATATACTTTTCTGAAACTGTATTTGCTGAATATATTCTGATCTACAGTTTAATTAATCTGATTTGAAACAAATATTACTTTAAGTTTGAAATATTACAGAAATGTATTTTTAACACGGCTGTTGGTGTTCATTTAAGGGTTCCAACTTCACTAACGTTTGTCTAATTTTATTCTACGCTGGATATACCTGTAAGAATTACTTGGAGAATATAACGTGAGCCCCCTTTTAATAAAATTAGGAAAATATTCTCCGTAATTTAATGTTTTATTGAATTTTAGGTATTTGTCTTTAAATTTTAATTTTTTATTTTATAAAAGTCCGCACGTTTATACACATACAAAAAAATTCAAAATACTTTTAAAAATATTGGTGATCGGTAAATTGTAATAAACTTTTCCATTTATGTTTAGTGAATATAGTTTTTACTTAATTACAATATCATCTTACCTAAACAAATTAAAACAATTTTAAAATATTTAAAATTTTATAAATTATTATAATTAAAATTTAAAAAATGAAAACAATTTTTGTAAATATTTATTAGTCATAGAAAGATATGCTTTTCTTAAAATATTTTTCTCATTCATAAAAGGAAGTAAAAGCTTTTCTAATTAAATAATGTCTTAGTTTTATTATTGCGTCTTTTATTTTACGATTCAGAGAAGTTGGAGTTCTTTTTACAAAGAAAAAAAAATGTTTTAAATCTTCCAAGGAGTTCTGATTTTAACTAATATAAACATAAAACAGGTCAAAATTTAATTTCTCGGAATTTCATAAAATTAAATAAGTGAAGCAAAAAATATTTTACCAAGATTTTCTAAAAAAAAAAACTAAAGTAATTGCCTTCATGTGTGAATAAGTCCTGAAAGTTTCATTAAAATCCCAAATTTTTTATTTTAGCAAGAATTTCCAAATCAACGCGTTTGTCACCGCAAAGAAATCTAATACTTGACCCCCTGGCTGACGCAAAAGATTTTTAACCAAAATTTTGAACGTTCTAGAAAGGAATATAAAATATAATTTAATAATTAAAAAAGTCCTTTGGTCTTTCCTTTTAATAATAACCTAAGGAGTTTGGCGATAGACTTATTACATTGTTCGGACTATTGTCACTATTATTGTCATATTCACGACATTTCTGCCGTTGTACACTCCGGCCTTCTTCAGGTGATATACGTTGGAATTTCAAACCGAACCCCGAATCTACTCCAGTGGACGAAATAAATGTTCCGTTTGAAATTCCGACGTATATCACCTGAAGAAGGGCGGAAAGTGTAACGGCTGAATCGTCGTGAATATGACAATAAAGATGAGGACAATAGCCCGAGCAATGTAAATAGTGTAAATAGTTGCAATACATCGTTTCAGAAATAAATATAGATGCGCATATATGTGTATACTTGTCTGTGTGTGCGTTCTTCATCATGTTCGTGTGTGTGTTCTATGTGCGTATGCGCGTTTGTAGATGCGTGCAGTTGTGGCTGGCTGCTTTGTGTGAATTTGTGTTTATGCATTTTGTGTGTGCGCTGCAGTGTGTACGTCTGCGCTGAGAGTGAATATGTGTGTATGTGTGTGCATCTGTGTGCTTACCTCTCCCTTTTTATTTGTGTTTGGCAAGCCATGAGTAAGAATGTCTTATGCATGTATTTATGTAAGAGATTTAAATGCGGATTTGTCTAGTACTATGACAACTTTCTTTTAGATTCACGATGCTTTCAACGTCAAACACTGCGCAATGTTGTTTATACATTTTTACTTTCAATTACGGTCGCGGATGTATGCATGTGTACAGGCTTTAGATGTCAGTTTGTAAGTGTGTTAACTGTTGCGTGTGTATGGCATTTATGCGCCGGAAGTTAATGCTTGTTCATTCTGCAACGCCTGCGAAATAACATTAAAAAAATGAATCCATTATTCAGGAGCGACTTCTTCAAATACGATGGTGTACTGAAAAGATTTCAACCGACTCACTTCCAAAATTTTAACTAAATGATACAATATGACATTGTTAAGGGTTTTTATGGGCGTGCCAAGAACATTGTAATTTCGTAATTAATGGCAGCTAATTGGACAAAAGATATACACTTTTGGGGGACAATAGTCTTCAATGACGCACAGCAAAAACGTCTATCGTAGTCGAACTGATTTGTAGTTTCAAAAATATAATATTGTAACAAAATATGCAATTTTCACAATCAGAATTCTACCAGAGCGAGCAATACAAATGTAAAAATCCTGATACCCATGTTTCATATAAGCAGAAGCATTTAATAAGTTGAGACACAAGATCTATTTGAACAGCTTGGAAAACTTTATTTTGGTAAGAGAGTAGGTAGAATAATTTAGAACATTTACTGAAAACTAATTGCTAAATCAGTTTCGAATTCGTATTTGTCATTTTTCTAGATTGGAAACCAATCTAGTCTGTCGAGTTTAGTGTCACGTTTTATGTCGTCAGTAAAAGTAATTCCCAGATATTTATATATCTGTACTTATTTCAGTTTGAACGGTTTGTTAGTTTATTTATTTGGATGAATTTAGATTAATTTATTTTACTTGTTTTTTATTATTTATATATTATACTGTATATTTTTATTTACACTTTTCTGTTTTTTGATTTTTAAGTAACGTACTATTTATTTTTCTTTTATCGTTATATAACAGTTATAGCTATTTTAAAATTTATATATATATATATATATATATATATATATATCAATGCTATCTCAATGTTCATACATACTGATAGGCACTGATATATACGTCTACAATGATGCGGCACATTTTAAATACAAATATCTTGGATTATAAAAATGACATAGAGTGCCAAATATATTTATTATATAACTGATATATAAGATTTGAACATGGAAATCTTAGATTTGAATATTACATCTTTGAGATGGTTACTACCACGAAGAGAACATGTACGAGCTCGCTCTCTCATTTCAAACACAGGGTGGCTTAGCATATCAGCTGGAATAGCTGCGATCTCTCTATAGATGCTTTGTTTTTGTTTTTTAGTTCCACAGCTGTAGAATATATATGTTATTTAAACAGAATGTTTACATTTCACTGAGTTTGAGCCAGTTTTTCTTAATTATTGATGAAAAAGAAAATTTAAACACTTGTCTTGCGTGTGGCAAATCCTCGGGAATTCACGGTTAATGTTCAATGTCCATCACTTTAAGGGACACATATTTTTTTTCCACCTTGATGGCTCCTTCATTTTCAATGATTTCACTTTTAATGGCGGTTTTGCCATCATTTCTCACAATAAGAGAACTTTTGCCATTGCAGATATATCCGCTTTCTCTGAAAAAGATGAAATTTAAAATGAAATTTATGTATTTTATTTGTGCTATACTCTTTTTTCCAGAACTCTGATTATTTCTTCTTCTTCTTCTTCTTCTTCTTCTTCTTCTTCTTCTTTTTCTTCTTTTATATATATATATATATATATATATATATTATATTTTCGCCACTTCTTTTCTTCTTTTGTGTTATATATATATATATATATATATATATATATATATATATATATATTCTTATTTTATATTCATTCTTATTTTCTTTTTCTTCTTTTTTGTGTTATTGATGTTTTCTTTTCACCACTTCCTTTTATATATATATATATATATATATATATATATATATATATTCATTCTTATTTTCACTTCTTTTTTTCTTTTGTGTTATTGATGTTTTTTCTTTTTCACCACTTCCTTCTTTATATATATATATATATATATATATATATATATATTATATATATATATATATATTTTCTTATTTTCTCTTCTTTTATGGAACTTCTATTTCTTCTTCTTCTTCTTCTTCTTCTTCTGTGTTATTCACGTTTTCTTTTTCGCCACTTCCATCTTTATATATATATATATATATATATATATATATATATATATATTCATTCTTATTTTCCCTTCTTTTATGGAACTTCTCTTTCTTCTTCTTCTTCTTTACTGTCTTCCTTTTCTACTGCTTCTTTTTTTTCTTCTTCTTCTATTCTATTTCCACCTGACCTGAGGCGAAATGACGTTGTAACATCGGTTCCCATATGATCACCGAAGTTAAGCAACGTCGATGCTGGTCAGTACGTTGATGGGTGACTGCATGAGATTACCAGATGCCGTAAGCTTGCATGTGCGGGTGGTGAAATAGACAAACCACTCGGAATTGGAAATCGTAGAGCCGAGTTCCAGTTTCAGTTGGGTCCGTTATATTAACCTACGCGCAAATACGCTTAAAGATAGGTATGAATGTACCACTTCCCACCCAGATATTTGTTAATTAGTAGGACTTTGCATTAATACATAATAATTATCACCACAAAAGTTATTACAATCTAAAATATATTTACTCTCTTTAAATAACGTGGTAAGGGTTGATAAACCGTAAAAAAAATCAATCAACTCTATTTTCTTCTCTTTCTTTTATCTTTCTCGTTTCTTTTTTTTTTCCTTGCTATTTCCTCTTTTTTCTTTTTGTCTTTTTTCTTTCTTTTTTCTTCTTTCTTTTATCCTCATGAATTCTTTTTTTTTCGTTTTTTTTCACTTCTTACTAATTTTTTGTTTTCTTCTTTTCCTTATTTTTATTTATTCTTCTGTTTTTGTATTTCTTCTTTAAAATATTTTTTGTTTCTTTCAAATGTATTAACATTTCATTTTTTTGATGGATCTTCTCACTGATTTCTCGTTCAGATTTTCATGTTTCATTCTTTAGTTAGTGCATTAGACATTTTTTTCTTCTCTCTTTTTGGATTTCTTTCTTTTATAGTTTTTTTCTAAAGCCGGAGTTTTCATTCACAACACATTAACTCCGACCTGCAAACTGTCCGTATCACTAAGTTCATTTTAGCCCTGTTTTGTTCCCGCATCCTAGCCGACGCCCTTCGATGTTCTTCCTACTCCAGACCCCAGAAGAAGAAAGCTAAATGAAACGGAAGAATCGACTATGGAAACTGATGGAGGTTATCCATTTCCTTTGCCTGTACCATCCGCAGCTTCGCGCCTTTTCTTGTTATTTCCATTGTTTATTGCTTATCGCTAGAACGCGTTTGCGTGCTCAAGGAGCAAATGTCATCCGCTGTTTTCCTCGATTTTAGGGTGGGGTTAGGGAGAGTTTCAGATTATTTTAATGGTGGGGGTGACAAGCCTGGAAAAATGATGGAAACTTGAAAAGAATGAAAAGGGAATAAGAAAAACACTTAGATAGATAGATAGATAGATAGATAGATAGATAGATAGATAGATAGATAGATAGATATAAAGAAACAGAGAGATATATATGAAGCCTGGAATTTAGTTAAATAAATCCTGCTTAAAATACTGATAGACCCACTTTCTTGACAATGACATTGATAGTCGGAAGTACTTCAATAGAACAATAAAAAAACAAAATTTGGTTAATTTATTCAAAACTTTAATCCCGATGTACACCTCATTCGGAAATTTGGAAGTTTTATAAAGATTTGAATAGACAGAACATAACTTTTATTAATGCTTGGTTGTTTTTGTCTGACGTAGATGGCTTCTATAAATTCTAGTCTAGTTCTTTGCTATTGGATCTATTGTGTATATATATATATATATATATATATATATATATATATATTTAGTTTATGCAAAACTAGGTAATCCGTATGGGTAGACCCAAGGAGGATGATATCCAGAGAGCTCAATGTAAATTCAAAGCAAATATGTTTGAATAAAAACAGACCACTTTAAAGGTTGTGGTGAAATAACTTATTACATGTAACCTTAAAGTGGTCTGTTTTTATTCAAACAAATATATATATATATATATATATATATATATATATATATATATATATATATATATATATATATATATATATATATCGGAGGTGCTCGAGAAGGTTTGGCATGCCTGCTTTTTACGCAAGCTCATGGGTTACGGTGTCACAGGACGAATATTTGGTTTAATCAAACGTTTCCTAACAAGTCATAAAATGAAAGTCCTGCTGTTCAGGTCGCTTCCAGATAATTCATACGAACGCGAGGGTCAGCCAAGTCTCTATCCTAGTCCCTATGCTGTTTCTAATCTTCATCAATGATCTCCATGATGTTATCAGTTCTCAAGTAGGTATCTAAGCAGATGACACTTCCATTTACTCTTGTCTCAGTACTAAGTCCCACAGACCTGATAAACTAAACCTGGCATCTGCTTTTGTAAAGGAACTCCAATCAGAAAATTCTTGTATATTTTAGCGCTTCCAAGGTAAAACGGTTTTCATTTAACCTCCACAGAGAAGCTTTTCTGTTATTTTCGTTTATGATCGATTTCAGTACGTTTTTTTTTTTTTTTGTTAAGCTTGAGATTAACTATATCTTCTTAATGCTCAAAGTAGAGTCCAATACTGTTATAAAAACCTCGGTGAAATCCAATATCTTTCATCATTTCTAAGATGCAACGGTTCAGAGCTTAGTCTAACAATTGGACAATTTTGCTGTTACACGATTTGGACAATTTTGCTGTTACACCCTGTATACATCGAAGGAGTTCAACAGGATTTGGCATACCTGCCTTCTCCACCAGCTACAAGACTACGGTGTCACAGGACGAATATTTCGTTTAATAAAATCGTTCCTAACAAATCATGAAATGAAATTCGTGTTGTACGGGTTCGCTTCCAGATACATTGATACGAACGCCGGAGTCACCTAACGCCCTATCGTCAGTCAATCTTCATCAATGATCATCCTGGTGTCATCAGTTCCCAACTAAGTATTTATGCAGATGACACTAACATTTACTCTTGTCACAGTAGAAAATCAAACTGATCAGACAAAGTAAATTTGGTAACTGCTAAAAAAGAAAACCCAATCAGGGGTTAAATGGCGCCAGGAAAGGATTGGGAATTTTAAAAACTCCAAAACAAAATGGTTTTCATTTAAAAACCACGGAGAAGCTTTCTGCCTGTAAAATTTCTGATGCTAAACTCCAAGAGAATAGCACTGTAGGCCTTCACATTTTTCCACTGATATGAAGTGAAGTGACGATATCGAATCAATTAATTCGTCTACTCCAAGGAGAGTTGGGTTTCTCTGTCGTGCAAGAAAAGTTTTGGGGGAAAATGTATGACAAGGTGAAAGTATGATATTTAAGAACATACTCTAACAGTTGGACAATTTTGCAGTGACACGATTTGGACAATTTTGCTGTTACACGATTTGAACAATTTCGCTGTTACAACCTGTACAGGTTTTGACATGCCTACCTTCTCCGCAAGCTACAAGACGACGGTGTCACAGGACGAATATTTGGTTTAAAGTAATCGTTCCTAATAAATCATGAAGTGAAAGTCGTGTTCTACGGGTTCGCTTCCATATACATTCATACGAACGCCGGTTAGGTGACTCCGGCGTTCGTATTGCTTACATGATTAACGTCATTCGCCATCTTGTGTCTTCTTGAACCCTGTTCATATTTTTGTCCTTTCCTTAATCCTCCCTATTCTCAGTCTTCCCTTTCTTTTTCACTTTCACTCCCATTAACCCCCACCCCGCCTACTAGTTCCCTCGGTTGGGGAAATGATTATATATATATATATATATATATATATATATATATATATATATATATCGGATGTAATAGCAAAATTATCCAATTCACGTTAAAATGTTTAAAAATCACTAAGCTGAGTTTCTTTTTCACAAGTTTTCAGATAAGTTGTTTAGCCATCTTGAAACCATTTGTCGTATGAATCACTGAAAACATTTTGAGTTATTCAGCTAGAATTAGAACAGGTTCAAATCATTTTGTGTCAGTCCCACTGTCTTCTCAACTGAGCAATGGTGAGAGGAAAAACATTCATTCCTTCAGTAATAGTACCATCATTCATAATCTGGCTTTCATCTTCAATGTCTATGTCAACAAGAACAATTTTAAAAAGAGAGGGAACAATAAAGAAGAAAACTGGATCAGGAGGTCACAACAGGAAGAAGTTTGAATACATGCACAATAATTTGAAATACTTCATAACTAATTATTAAATAAGTAAACTGAAACGTACTTCAATAAGCAAACATTTCAATATAATCCAAGATTACTGTAATTCAATAAACAAAATTATGCAAATAAAAAACAAGAAAAAATAATAAACTTTTTCCCCTTCGAACATGAAATTCGTCTCTGGTGGTGGAATTTTCTCCCCTTGTTAAGAACCCAGGTTATTTAATTCGGCACAAAAAAAAAAAAAAAAAAAAAAAATCAATCATAAATTATCGTTTTACTAAACGAGGTTTAATGTTCTCACAGTCTTTTATTCGTATATATATATATATATATATATATATATATATATATATATATGTGTGTGTGTGTGTGTGTGTGTGTGTGTGTGTATGTATATAGACACTTCCTTGAAAATGGATGACAAAAAGATTTAATTAATCTTTTATTTCATTTTTCCGCCATTATAAGTTTTTTCCATTTTCTCAGGGTTAAAGAAAAATGTTAGAATGCTGAAAAAAACAATAAAAGATTAATTAAATCTTTCTCGTCAACCGTTTTTAATGAAACATACTTGAAAGAACGGGTGCTGCCCAAATACCCATTAATCTATCTATCTATCTATCTATATATCTATATATCTATATATATATATATATATATATATGTGTGTGTGTGTGTTTATATATGATAAAAATAGCACTGAATGGCAGCTGTTTGTTTCGTCATGATAAATACAGTCGCCACTCATTGTTGATATTTATACCTACACTGTTTATATATATATATATATATATATATATATATATATATATATATATATATATATATTCAAAAGGAGGCTTACACAGTAGCATCCCTATTTCTAATAATTTGAATTTGATGTAACTACAAAACATTTCGGTTTTAAAATTTTCTTGATAAAATTGGATTAAAAAAACGCGTCGGTAATGACTAAGAAATATTTTCCCATTGTTTTTTTTTTTATATATATATATATATATATATATATATATATATATATATAGATAGATAGATAGATAGATAGATAGAGAGAGAGAGAGAGAGAGAGAGAGGGAGAAAAATGTGTTGGGAGAAACGGCGCTATAAGAAGAGGAAAACATTATAAAGTCATCTTTCTTATTTTAATCATTTCACTCGA